ACTCTCAGATGCCATCTAGGCGAAACACCCACCCGGGCCTTAAAATCTCTACAACTTCCTTGGATAAAGCCTTGCAACTGTCTCCATATATCAACAACCAGAACAAAAGTAAAAATGTAAAAGCTGAACAATGAGAAACGTGCCGATTCTGTGCGACTCCTCGCTTCTGAGCTTCCACTCCTGGCGGTGAGCTCTCTGAGGGCAGGGACTGCGTGCCCAAAGCCCAGCACTGTGTCTGGGGCAGAGAGGCTCTCAGTACATGTCAGCTAAAACAAGCTAGTGGCTCAAGATCCATGGACTGCCACTACAGCCGCACCCTCAGCTCTGAACTTTTCCTTCTGGAGACCCCAGAGATGCAGGATAGTCTCTGCCAACGGCAAAATCTAGCAAGGTGGCTTATTCCAACCTAACCCATAAACACTCTAATTTGCTCCACAAGATGCTACACTTTGTTTAAAAATATCCAGTTACACTTCCAAGAAAAGAAAGGAAAGTTACAAATTTGGAAGTTGTTTAAGGCACCAGGAGGTACCCATTATTCTCAATCAAGATGCTCATGATTCCAAACCCAGATTTGCACCTGCTGGCTTCAGTCACTTGCTGATACCTGAGACACAGCTCAAACTAGGCTTTCTCTGGCAGGCACTGGAAACCTGAAGATCCCTAATTTTCACTTTCATACGAAGTCATTAAAAAGACCACAGATTGAAGCACTGCAGACAAAAGTCATGGTAACAGAAGTAACAATTATTAAAAATAACTTTTCTAGGTATTTCTGCCTGGGTCTAGATTAAAACCAAAATTGAGCTGTCATGAGCTACAATCGAATCTTTTAGAAAGCAGGAGTCAAATAACACCAGGGCTGCGTGAAACATTCTGGTGCTACTGAAACCCAATGCAAGAAAAAAAAATAAATAAAATGGCATTCTGTGATGGATATTCATGAAGCACTCATCCTAATTTAAAAGAAAACAAGTTTAGAGTTCTTACTGCATTAATTCATGTGAGCCTGAAAGAACATTTTTATCCAAACTGTTACATTTCCTACCAAGGCGTTAACATTCTCCAGGTCTGCTCAGATACACTAATTCCAAGAGGGTGCGATTTGTCTTTTAGTCAATGCAAAACATCATCAGAAGCTTCTTCTGAGCTTTCCAAGCAGGAGAGGAATGGCCTCTTTAATTTTACTAACAATGACAAGGACTAAGCGTCAATAGGCTCCTACTGTATACAGTATGGTAAGTAAGCTCTTAGACTAAGAGACACTAAGAGGCTGCAGTTATCCCCATTCTACAGATGAGGAAGCAAACTCAGAGAAGCTGAGAAACTTACCCAAGGTCACTCAGCTAATGACTGGCTGAGCCAGGATTTGGACCAAGATTTGTCAGTCTCAGACTCAGAACTATTATCTCTTACAAGATTTTAATCCAGGCATATTGATGAGATGTAGGATTTTTATTGGTGCTGGATTCTTACTGATTGTCTCCAAGTAGAAAGAGAATTCTCACTGAAGGATGTTCCACCACACAGACAAAGTCAGGCTGGGTCTGACACTGTGACGATTAAGGGGTCACAATATGTTGTACCTCAAGTGGTCTGCAGCCATTGCTTTGCAAAATGTCCATGATTTTTACTTCTGTCAGTGAAGTAGGCAAAAAGATGTTTCATATTTTAATCATTAATTGAGAGGATTTGTTTCAGATAAAAGAATAAGCTTTCTTAAGGCAAAGAATTCAAAAATATTAAGGCACAGCATCTTATCTGCTTACTGCTAGCTAGCATTTCAGGGGCACTGGCCCTGGAAAATACATTAAGTCCTGCCTCTTATGACAAAAGGATTAGAAAAGCTCACCTGGACTTGCATCCTTCCATGAGGTTTTCCTTGCCATCAACATCAACCAGAAAATAACCATTAGAAATTTAACTGCGTTCAGTTGATGACCTTCACTAAGCTAAATTCAGCAGTTTGTCAGCTACAAAACATTAAATAGACACAATTAAGAAGTTTGAAAGACATTAAGCAGAATTTAAACTACAGTAACATGAACATTAATGGGAATAAAACATAAAGATGGCATTCTAGATTCATGATACTGACATTTTAGACAAGTGCTGCAAAAGGCAGGCAAAAGTGGGGGGACACAGAGATGCAGAAATCCAAAACTCGGTGGATACACCGTTCAGCAGCTGATCACTTCTCCACCTTGATAAATGTACACCCAATAATGGCAATAACAATAATGAAAATGTACTAAGCAGTTACTAAGTGCTGCCCATTTTTCTACTTCATATAGAAGTTCATATACCATTTTCGTTTACAGTTCACAGTCACCCTATGAAATGGATTTTATTATCCTCCACACCGCAAATAAGAAACGGAGGCTCAGAGGCATTAAATTGCTCATCTTCACAGAGCTGGGACGTAGACTTGCCAGGATTCAAACCCATGATTCCAAAGCTGCTGTTCTTTCCCCACAGTCTCCGAATGAAGAATCACATGACTTTTCTCTTTTCCCATGATCAGAGGGGAACGTTTTAAAGTTTCAAAGATTCGTTTTGTGCTTTCTACACCCTAAGAGGGCAAGCTGAAAACATCCACCTTGAATGGTAGCATTACATATCACAGAAAGTTGACAAAAACAGATTCTCCTTAAAAAAAAAAAAAAAAAAAAAAAGGTAAATTACAAAACAAAACAACAAGTTGTTTACCAACAAAAATCAGGAAGTATTTGAGTACCTATTATAGAAGTCCAGCCCCAGTATTAGACACCATAAGGGCTCCGAAAGGAGTATTAAGACACAATGCCCTTAAAAAATCTCCCACTCCGGCTGGGACAAGAACAAGTTCAACAGCCAAGGAACAAGTGCTGAATCCGAGTGCCACAAAGCCATGGGGGCAGGGAAGTCAGGGAACACCCACTGGAGGAAGTGTATCTTCAGCAGGGGCTTGAAGGAAGTGAAATGGAGAATTTGCACAGAGAAAAAGGAGGTCAGAGCTTCAGAAGGGGGAACAACAGAAGCAAAACCCAAGAAACCGTAACTAACTCAGTTCTGCAGGGGAGAGACATGGAGAAGCAGAGAACTGCGTTCAGGTAGGTGGGGTGGGGCCAAACCACGGAGAGTCTTGAAAAGACGGGGTGGGCGGTGGCTGGACACACCGTGGCAGGCAAGAGGCCACTACTCAGCTTTGAACAGTGGTATAACTGCCGTGGCCTCTTAACTGATCTCCTGGCCTCTAGCTTCTTCACCAATGCCTTCAGTAGTTTCAACTTTGACCTAGTGTTCGAGTTCTTTGAGGAACTAGCCGCGGCCCACCTCTCCTCCTACTTCCCTCCTATATGAACCCTTCTCTGCCAGGAGACTGGTCTATTCACGAACTCCATAGGATCACTGGGCCTGATTCCTCTTTTCCTATCCGAATGCTACTCATCCGTTAACACCGGCTCAAATCCCGCCTCCTCACTAAGCCCTCCCTAACCACTCGGCCTACAGTGACCTCCATCTCTCCTTCTTAATTCTACAGCACACAGCCTTGTCTCATCAAAATTACCTTCTCATAGGTAATGTCTCAGCACCCTGCGTAAAGCTGCTTGGAGACTGTAAGTGTGCCTTCTACTCCTTTCCCACCACATGGAACAGCATCTTGACATTTAATAAGCAAGCAAGCACTCAACTATTTTTTGACTTCCTATAGTAAGTTTGGCTTTAGCATAAAGGAAGGATGGGGGAGGGGGGAACCTCTGGAGTCAGAGACCAGCTAAGAAGCTGTTGCAATAATCCAGATGTGAAGCAAAGAAGGCCTGGGCTAGGGAACAAAGAGAAAATGGGCAAATATAAACAACAAAAAATTCTGCATGCAAAAACTCGGCGGAATGTGATTAACTCCTGCTAGGGACAAAAGCAAGGGATGAATGAGGATTAAGGTGAGGTTTAGAAAACGCTTCTTGAAATCATTTTAAAGCCTGTCTGAAACGAAATGCAGTAAGTGGCTTAAAAAGTCCACACTGACAAAGTCTTCAGCGAAACTGCCCAGTATCTTGAACCAGGGACAGCCCTTCCAATTTGAGACATACACGGAATGGCAAAGCCAGAAGGGTTCTTAGAGAGTTAAATGAAACCCTCAATGATCACATGGGGAAACTGAGTCCCAGCATGGAAAGGACTTGCGGAACGCCTCCAGACAGAGACTCCCAGATGAGTGCCGCCCTGAAAGCACAGCCACTTGGCCTAGAAGGGCACTGTTTACACCCCCGGTCAGCCCCAGCCCAGCCCTCCGCAATGGCAGGACCAACTGAGCGCGAGTGACCATGGAGACGTCTGGGGCCAAGCGCAACCCGTCGCCGCCGCCTGTTTACCTGGAGAAAGGCTGTGGCGTGAGGCAGTGGCTCCGTGGCAGCCACCCGAAGGGCCGACCCCCTGCCCGGCCGGCTCTCCAGGGAACTCAACCATCTGACCTCCCTCCCCGTACAAAAGGGAGCGCCCCCAGGGCTAGGGGCCCGGAAGCTGGGGATCCCAAGACGCCCCGGGTGGAGGCTGGGGAGCCCAGGGCAGCTGCCCGAGCGCGACCCTCGGCCGGGCCAGCGGCGCCCGGACTAAAGACCGAGCACAGTTGGCCCCTCGGGGGCGCGCGCCTGACCCCAGCAGGTGCCCGGGCCTCCGGACCGCGCCCGGCCTCAGCTCCCGCCCGCGCCGGCCGCCAGCCCGCGGGACTGACCAGGCGCGAAGGCTCCCGCCCCGCCGCACCCAGAGGGAGCCGGACAGCGGCCCGGGGACTGCCCCCCGCCCCGCCGGCCCCGCCCGCGCCTAGTCCGCTGCTCGCCGCCCCCGGCCAGCGTGCCTCACCTGCGCAGAGCGCCGCGCTCACATCGCCCGCCCGCGGCGCCCCCTCCGCCGCCGCCGGCGCCAGGCCCGTCCCCGCCGCTCCGGCTGCCGCCCCAGCCCGCGCCCCCCGCCCCCGGAAGCGCTTCCCGGCCCCGCCCCCTGGGCGCCCGCGCTTCCGGGCAGGCGCCGACCCGGGTGGCGGCGCTGCGAGGCGGACCTCTCGCCAGGGGCTGGGATCCTGAGTCCTGCCCGGTTGTCGTCCCAGAGCCTCTCCGTGGGCGAGCGGCAGCCTTGGTCTGGACCCCGGAGTTCCAACTCCGGGGAGCGGCGTCGGCTCTGCCTTCCGCCCGCGCTCTCCTCGGCGCCCCCTGCTGGCGGGAGGAGGGCGGCGCAGTGGGGCGCGTTTCAGGGGCTCCCGGAATCGAAGGGGTGGGAGAGAGCCCAGGGCCCTCGACCCCCCAGCCCAGCCCTCTCTTCCAAGACCCTCGCTCCTGCAGCTCTTCAGGCTCTTGCCACGCACCGGAGCTGCACCTGGCAGGGCAGCTGAAGGCAGCAAGGTGCAGTGGTTAGCAGCAGGGCTCTGGGGAACTGCCATAGGGGGTCTCTTGACTTATGACCTTGGGCCAGTTTTCTCTCAAAACGGAGGTGGCTCCCGCCTGTAATCCCAGCACTTTGGGAGGGCGAGGCGGGAGGATCAGTTGATCCTAGGAGTTTGAGACCAGCCTGGGCAACATGGGGAGGCCCCATCTAAATTTTTAAAACTTAGCCAGGCGTGGTGGCACATGCCTGTAGTTCCAGCTGCTGGGGAGGCTGAGGTGGGAGGGTCGCTTGAGTCCGGGAGGTCCAGGCTGCGGTGAGCCATGATCGTGTCACTGTACTTCAGCAAGAGCCGGTCTCAAAAACAAAACAAAACGGCGGTGAAAATTCCCAGCTCACTGTTATAAAACCCATTTCACAGAGCATGCCTCAAAAAATGTGCATTTCCAGACCCTTGGGAACACCCCAGTCTTCAAACCGTTGGGTGGGAGTGGGAACCTCACCCAGCATTTTCCTCTCAGCTTTAGATCAATGTAACAGCCTTTGAAGAGCTTCCCGTTGCATTTTGGTGCACTCAGTAGTTGTGGCAGAGGTTTATTTTCCTTTTTCTGGCTTTGTAATAAAAATAAACTAGGAGGCAAAGATACCAGCTCCTATTCAGGATAGAAAGCTGCTGAGACGTCCTGATGTTACTTCATCCTTTGCAAGCAGGAACTGTCTCGCCAGGATCCATCCAGTGGTCATCCTCCAATAACAACAGCTACCCCTTGTCAAACACTCCATGCAGGGCACTGTGTAGACACTTGACAGCCGTGACCTCATTTAACACAACCTAAGGAGGTGGCGATCTATTCCCGTTTTAATCCAAGAGGGAACTGAGGCTCAGAGAGGTTGAGTGACTTATCCAAAGTCACACAGCTAGTAAATGGCAGACTTGGGATGAACTCCCTTGTCTCTCTGCCTTCTTATAGCAACAGAACATCCAAGCATAAGATTTTAGGCAACCCGCCTACAACTGCAGGCACCTGGGCAGACAGGTAGTCTCGCTCTTGAATTGCTATTGCACTTAAGTTGTTTTCTTGACATCTGTCCCCACGGGTGAAATATGTGTGCACCCAGGGCACAGGAATACATCATCTTGTCAGGTCAGGTTTACTCCGGACTACTGAGCTGAATCTTTTTTTTTTTTTTTTTTTTTTGAGACAGAGTCTCACTGTTTCCCAGGCTGGAGTGCAGTGGCTCGAACTCGGCTCACTGCAAGCTCTGCCCCCCGGGTTCACGCCATCCTCCTGTCTCAGCCTCCAGAGTAGCTGGGACTACAGGCGCCCGCCACCACGCCCGGCTCATTTTTTGTATTTTTAGTAGAGACGGAGTTTCACCGTGTTAGCCAGGATGGTCTTGATCTCCTGATCTCGTGATCCGCCCGCCTGGGTCTCCCAAAGTGCCGCGCTTACAGGCGTGAGCCACCGCGCCCGGCGAGCTGGTTCTTATGCCCAGAGTTTTTCCTACAGATCAGCCTTGGGCCTCATCATTTTAACTGATTTTTGCTAAATTTGTTGGTAAGAGGGTCTTCTTGACTGTGATACAGTGTTTGCATGTCATTAAGGACTGTAAAGACTAAAATAGAGACCAGGCGCCGTGGCTCACGCCTGTAATCCCAGTATTTTGGGAGACCCAGGCGGGCGGGTCACGAACTCAGGAGTTCGAGACCAGCCTGGCCAACACGGTGAAGTCCAGTCTCTACTAAAAATAAAAAAAATTAGCCGGGCGTGGCGGCACGCGCCTGTAATTCCAGCTACTCGGGAGGCTGAGGCAGGAGAATCGCTTGATCGGGGAGGTGGAGGTTGCAGTGAGCCGAGATCTCACTATTGCAATCTAGCCAGGGTGACTGTGGGAGACTCCGACTCAAAAAAAAAAAAAAAAAGACTAAAATAGTTCCTGAGTTTTTGACCCTCCACTGCCAAGTGTCTCAAAGTTGTTGGCCATCCGTCTGTCCTTTGGGTGCTGGGTATTTCCCCCTCATAGTTTATATTTACTCTCCCACCTAACTGGGTTACCAAACTCATCATTTATATATTTTTCTAGCCCCTTGCTTTTTTTGTTCTTGTTGTTTAGCTGATTGTCATGGTCTCTACTAATTTTAGTTAAAAAACTGTCACTCCTCCACAGTTGAGGTGCATATGTGTTTCTGTTTTCCCATAATCTTTGTGGCAGTTTTGAATGATTTAACCCGTTAGCTCCCTTGAAATCAAGAAGTCTACGGAGCGATGCACGAGTCTCATTTTAATTTATTCCACAGTTTTCCATTTTCCCCAGCAGCACTTATGAAATGTTCAAATTCACATTTTGTTGAAGTTTGGGGTTACCCTTCAATCCAGGCGGGGTTTTCTAGCCAGGCGGCAGAGTGATTCATGCCTGTAATCCCAAGCACTTTGGAAGGTTGAGGCAGGAGGATCACTTGAGCCCAGGAGTTTGAGACCAGCCTGGGCAATATAGTGAAACCTCATCACTACAAAAAAAGAAAAAATAAAATAAAAGCTGAGTGTGGTGCCATGTGCCTGTGGTCTCAGCTACTTGGGAGGCCGAGGTGGAGGATCTCGTGAGCCCTGGAGGTCAAGGCTGCAGTGAGCCGTGATCACCAGTCTGCACTCCAACCTGAGCATCAGTGTAAGACCGTGTCTCTTAAAAAAAAAAAAAAAAGGTGTGGGGCTTCCCATCGTGGGGGTCAGCCTATGTGGGGGTGATGGCTGATAGCTTACCAATACTTGTGTTCTGCCTTCTCTTCTTCCACAGCACATGGTGAAAACACATCTCCAGCCTCCTCACCATTGTCAAGTGTTAATTGAGGTAGCCTGTGAGGTGCTTGGCATGTGTGAGTCTGCCGTAAAAGTGAATTCCCTTCCCATTCTTTCCTCTTCTCCCCCTCCTTGGACAGATGCGGCCTGAATCTCCGCTTCTCATTTATTCCAGATTCCTGAGCACTTGGAGAGCCAAGAGAGCCAGGTTACAACTGGTCCCAGCTTCTCCTTCTGGCCTCCACCAGGGACGCTTTCTGTCGGAAGTCCGGCTGCAGGACTTGGCTCTGGTCCACCTGGCAATCCTCAGAGTTTGGCAAAACCTGTTGACTGTTGGCACCTGTTAGTCTTTATACACACATGTAACTCATGTGTCTCCCTTAAACAAAATATTATATGAATTATTTGGGGTTTCCTCATTCTTCCTCCTCTCACCAGGACCCACTAATGTGTCCCTTCCACCTACCTCACTACCTGAACAGTACCGTCGAAGGGGAAGCCCGTCTCTCCAAACAGTCCCAAGATGTCCACTGACTTCCAGATCATTCCAGTAGGTCAGGGTTCCTTCCACCTGGCCACCTCTGCAGAGGAGAGTGAACATTCCTCCTGGCTCAGGGAGGGCACTTCCTTGGAGAACCCTCTGACACTCACCATCTTTGCAGTGGGGACCAGGTGGTTGGTTGACCCCTCAGAGCTTCTCTTCTTCACGTGTTAGATGATGGTGAGGCTGAGGGGTGTGATTTGAAGAGCTTCCTTTCCATAATCAAGACCGGGCAGTAGAGAATCCTGTGGCTAAGCAATGAGGCGGATCTGGGTCTAAACCCCAGCTCAGCCGCACAAGACCTCTGTGACCTGAGATGAGGCAAGACATTTGACCCTACTGAGCCTTGACCTCCTCGTCTATGTAGCAACGGGGATGGTACTTACCTCAGTGGGCAAATAAGATAATAATTTAATGTTTTCAGAATGACATACTCAATAAATATTTTTGATCAGCAAGAAAGCAAGGGAAGGCCGGGGGCAGTGGCTCATGCTTGTAATTCCAGCACTTTGGGAGGCCGAGGTGGGAGGATTGCTTGAGCACAGGAGCTCAAGACTAGCCTGGGCAACATGGCAAGACCCCTTCTCTACAAAAATTAGCCAGGCATGGTGGTGAGCACCTGCGGTCTTAGCTACTCTGGGATGCTGAGGTGGGAGGTGGGAAGATCACCTGAGCCTGGGAGATTGAGGCTGCAGTAAGCTGTGATGGCACTGCTGCATTCCAGCTTGGGCAACAGGGTAAGACCCTGTCTCAAAAAAAAAAAAAAAAAAAAGAAAGAAAGAAAAGAAAAGAAAAGAAAAGAAAGGAAAAAGGAAAGGAGGAAGGGAAGGAAAGAAAAGGAGAAAGGATGGTCTCAAGAGCCGCCACCCATTTCCATGAGGCCACTCCTCACTTCCTGGAGAGATGGCTTGCCCTCTACTCTCCGCCTGTCTCCTCTGTTCAGCTTCCATGTGGGTCCTGCCTCTCTCTGACCTGAGTCCTGCTGACACCCACTGGGCCCAGGTGCTGCCTCCGAAGTTCCTCCCCTCTGTAATTTTCTTCCTGGTCTACTCCCTCGTGGTTTCCTGCTGGTTCTCCAGCACTTTGCAACTGACTCTCCTGGCACTCTGCACTTCTTTGTAGTAATCACAATGGTAATTAATTACTTGTACAATTATGTGTTTAATAGCTGTGTCTCCTACCACTAGCCGGTAAACTCCATGAGGATGAGAACTTGTCTGACTTCTTTCCTGCCATTTCTTCAGTGCTTGATACTTAATAAATATTTGTTGGATTAACAGATAATGAGAGGCTACCTGTTTTTCTTCTAAGTCTATGTTCCCTGAGGGCAAGGACTGCTTTATCGTTCCATTTTCCCTGCACCTTACAGAGAACCTGGTACTGAGCGGGCAACACTATTTGCTGAATGAAGTGAATGAATGAATGAATGAAGTGAATGAATGAATGAATGAAGTGAATGAATGAATGAAGTGGATGAGTGAATGAAGTGAATGAATGAATGAAGTGAATGAATGAATGAGAGACTGAAGCCCATTTCTCTTCCCCTTTTACCTGTATCACACTTAAGACTGGTTCTCCCCTCACTGTAAATGCTTTCTTGGTCCTAACCAGCCCCTACCTGGAAGCTTCCCTTGACACATAGCGATAATAGGTAAGAAGAGAGAGAAATGCCTTCCACATTTGTAGGGAATCCTCATTAGAAAAACAGGATTTTCAGGCTCGGTGCGGTGGCTCATGTCTGTAATTCCAGCACTTTGGGAGGCCAAGTGGGGCAGATCACAAGATCAGGAGATTGAGACCATCCAGGTAACACAGTGAAACCCCATCTCTACTAAAAATACAAAAATTAGCCGGGCGTGGTGGCGGGCGCCTGTAGTCCCAGCTACTCAGGAAGCTGAGGCAGGAGAATTGTTTGAACCTGGGAGACGGAGGTTGCAGTGAGCCGAGATCGCACCATTGCACTCCAGCCTGGGTGACAGAGCAAGACTCCGTCTCAAAAAAAAAAAAAAAAAAAAAAGAAAGAAAGAAAAAAAAGAAAAATAGGATTTTCAAGAAATCTGCATGGACCTCTCCACCCCAGTTCCTGCAGAGGACACACTTACGCGGTCAAAAAGGGTGCCTTCAACAGGACCCACTTTTTCAACACAGGGCAATTTCCTCTCAGTTTTCATCAGAGCCATTAATTGCAAAGTTTCACAACCACACTCGCAGTATTGTGGTGGGCAGTGCTGTGTGCTGGTTAAGAGGGTGGAGGGGTCTTTAAAGTTGCCGTGGGTGCATCACTTAATCTTTTTTACTTTTTCTTACTCATCTGAAAACAGGGACTAATGTCACTGAATTTCTGTTCTGGAATCAGAGGACAAGTTACAAGCAATGCATCTATTTAATATGGTTGTGTTTTTTGCCCCAAAGGCCGTCATTACTTCCAGAGTATAGCTCCGAATCAATGGCATTCTTGAAAGCTATGTCTCAGGGTGGACTGATGTAACTCACATTGCATTTTCTCACAGGCAGTCAGAAAAGTGACGACATCTTCAAAGATCTAGCCTGGTTTAAAGCGGTGACTTTGTGCTGTAGGTGTTAGAAACCAGGCAGAAACCTGCTGAGCACACCCTGGATTTCAGTGAAGGAAGCCAACCGCACGTGAACAGCATTCACGCCGCCACATGTGTTTAATCTAAAGCCAACATCCTGTCCATCAAACATGAGACCAGAAACACTGCTCGCCTTCGCTCAGAAGTCAGAGGGCTTTGCGGGATGACTTTGATGACCAAGGCTTTTTAAATAAAGATACCCGGGAAGATGTAACCTTTTCCCTCTAAGTAAATTTCCCTAGAGCAAATAGTTCCACTGACCTTAGACATGACTTCAGGGCTCTCCTCAGAGCTGAGAGCTATTTAAAAATAAAAGTTACGGAATCTGATTGCTTGAAGACCTCACTAAAGATTTCAAATGTGAGGATCTGGAGGGCAGGAGGGGAGGGAGTCTCTCTTTAATCTCTTTCCTTTTTCTTTTTTTTTTTTTTCCTTCTGCTAGTCCTTTATTCCCTTCCTCCTTACAAGAGAATCAGAATGGAGAGGAACCCTTTGGGGATAAAAATCCCAGGGGGCTATGAGATCATTGTCCCAAGCACTGTGGAGGAGGGAGAGTCTGTCTTTGCTTTTCTTCTTTTAATAAACTTTAATGAGGTATGATGAGTCTTGACCAATGTACACATTTGTTCACTGTCACCATGACCTTGCTTTTTTTTCTTTTTTGAGACAGAGTCTCACTCTGTTCCCCAGGCTGGAGTGCAGTGGTGCAATCTCAGCTCACTGCAACCTCTGCCTCCCAGGTTCAAGCAATTCTCACGCCTCAGCCTCCCAAATAACTGGGATTACAGGCATGCGCTACCATGCCCGGTTAATCTTTGTATTTTTAGTAGAGATGGGGTTTCACCATGTTGGCCAAGCTGGTCTCGAACTCCTGACCTCAGGTGATCCGCTCACTTTGGCCTCCCAAAGTGCTGGGATTACAGGTGTGAGTCACCGCGCCTGGCTGACCTTGCTTTTTTGACTTTTGCCTTTCTTCCTGGCTGAGCGTGAACAGAGTACTCAGCATCTGTTTTAACTCTGCTTCCTAGAGTCCCCATGCATCCTTGCCTTGCTTGTTCAGGCTGTGAAATAGTCAATGAAGGAGTCCCAATCAGGTGAGATCACCATGCTGCACGCAGACCCTGCTGCGCAAGGGAGGCCTACGGTGCCAGGGAGAGCCTGTCATGAAAACTACTGTTGCATGCTTATTCATTCAACAAATATTTATTGAACTCTTACTAAGGGTCAAGCATTGCTCTAGAAGGAATGTGGATATAGAAGTAGACAGGGGAGGGTGGTGCAGTGGCTCATGCCTGTAAATCCTAGCACTTTGGGAGGCCAAGGCAGGCGGATCACCTGAGGTCAAGAGTTCGAGACCAGCCTGGCCAACGTGGTGAAACCCCATCCCTACTAAAAATGCAAAAATTAACCGGGCATGGTAGCGCATGCCTGTAATCTCAGCAACTTGGGAGGCTGAGGCAGGAGAATCGCTTGAACACGAGAGGCGGAGGTTGTAGTGAGCAGAGATCGCGCCATTGCACTCCAGACTAGGCAACACAGCAAGACTCCGTCTCACCAAAAAAAAAAAAAAAAAAAAAAAGAAGAACTAGACAGGGGAAAGACTCCATGCTCTTAAGCTTACATGCTATCTCATGCTTTCATGGGAAGGAAAGGCATAGAGTAACCGTGTGTGATATGCTAGATGGTGAGAAAGGGTGTGGGAAAAATGAACTGGGAAAGGGGAACACGGGAGAAGAAATACATTGCCAATGAGGGTGTTTTAATACTAGTTTGAATTCTTACTTTTCTTCTAGTCTTGCCCTACTCTATGAAACAAGAGGAGGCTCACGGATGTCAGGGGAGCAGGGATCCCTGGTACCATTACCTGCCTTCCTCACCATCTTCCTCTCTGCTGATGTTGAGCTGGGGTTTACTTGAGCCCTGTTTACTTGCCCTGCTCTGATCAGTCCCCTTCTGCTGGCTCCGCTGGAATCTGCTCCTCATCAGCTCCTGGGTGCCCTTTGTCTCCCGGTCCCAGCTCTGCAGTCCTGCTCCCCATCCCTGGCCTGAGTTTCACTGGCCTTGTTTTCACATTGAGTGCTTCTGCTGTTACTGGGCAGTTGATTTCTTTCACTGCATTTCCAAGATTGGGCACACGTGGTAAAAACCATGGGACTTTGGGCAAGTTAATCAGACTCTCTGAACCTCAGGTTTCTGCTCTGTAAAAATGGGCATCATCACAGTACCTGTCCCAGCTGGTTGTTAGAAGAATCCCAGGAGATAGCAGAGGTCAAGGGTCTGCAGAACCTTGCCCTTAGTTGGTGGTGGGTCAATAGGAGCTGTTGGCATATGAGGGGCAGAGCAGATGGTAGCAATGCAGGGGACAGTGAGGGAGCAGCATGGTGTGGAGGTGCCTCCTGGCTTTGTTTCCCCCTGCCCTCCTTCAAGCCTCCCCCTCCCCCACTCCACCCCTGACTTGCTGTCATTCTGGGCTCCCCTTTCATCATGGAGCTTAGCTCTGTGGAATCTTTGCCTCTGGCCACTCAATGAGAAAACTCTTCAACTGATCTGCTCCCTCCCTCCCTCCCACCTCATAGCCTGAAGAGCTGTCTCTGTTCAAAGGGGAGGATGTCTTCCTTGTCAATCAAGACTCCAGAAGACTGGGGTATCTTGGCTCTTCCTTTATTTCTAATTCCCTGGCTTGCAAGACACCGTTTTTCTCCCTGAGAGTAAGTAGCTTTTAGAACTTCCAGAAACCTTGGTGCTCACTGCCAAACTAGTCAGTAGGTTAAATTCATCCAGAGGACTTTTTTTTTTTGCAGAAAGAATCTCAGTATCTGTGCTTCAATCCCTCCTCCTGGCTGGAACCAAAGCAGGTTTTAATTTCCAAGCCCAGAGAAGCCTGGCTTAGCTGACAAAAATATACTAAAAGACTTTCCCTAATACCTGCCTCCAGGACTCACAGGACATTCGGATACATGGGTAACCTGCACCCATTCTCTTCAACAGAACTTTCAGACCTGAAGTCTAGTTAGGGGTGGTTCAACTTCTGGTCAAGCAATAAATTAAGGACACAGTTTCCATTGCCAAAACTCACGGAACAAAGAAGATGCTTAACTTTTCTGAGCTTCTGTTTCCTCATCTATAGAATGGAGATAATTGTTTGATCCCACAGGGTTGTTGGGAGTAGCCCTAGGAGATGATTG